TACCTTCTTTAACTTGGCTTGTTCCCTTTCTGTCACATTCCCCTAGATGTGAAGTCAGTGTTTTTACCCACCATCCAAAGTTCAACTCACACATACAAATATGCAAACCATCATTTTTCATCTTTCCATCTCTTTCCCTCCACACATATTATTCTTTTCTGACCTCATTGTACATTCTACATTGTTTCAAAGAGAAACGCGAGTGTGCGAGACTTCAATGGCAAATATCAAGAGTTTTATTTGCACCCTTCTGTGGAGAACAGGTACTGTAACCTGATTACATATGCTCATCTGTCTGCTCTGATCCAATTTATGTATCATTACACAGGGACAAGATTGTGTAACAAAATTACAGTGAGATCAAAATAAGGACGTTGAATGGTTTCTTAGCAGCACTGATGCAAACGGAGTCCTCACCACGTCCCACGGTCCGCTGGGGAGTCGTGATGGGGTCTGGTCTCTGCTGAGACGTGGGCACAAAAGTGTAAGATTGGAGGACAGAGAACAGAGATGGTTTTAGAGGCCTGCAGCTCTTAATGAAATCCTTGTGTTGCCTTTTCCAGCTTTCATAAGGTATAATAAATAATGAAGATAAGGAAAGAAGACAACATAATTCCTGCTAAATTAAAGCACCTCGTTCATCCACATCAGCACTCAGGGATGACAAAACAGTATGAAGTATAATAAGCTGCTGCTATTTTTTGTATTATCTATCATGGGCCCTCTTTGCTTTATTCTCTGCTTCAGCCTTTGAAGTTCAATTTGAGAGTCTTGTCAGCATCCCAGCTGTCTGCGCAAAGTGACCTTTTCTTTCTCTTTTATCTCCAATCCTCATCTCTTTAGCTCCCTCTTGAATTTGCTCTCTAGGGGCTGTAATAAACCTGTGGTTAGCTGTTAAAACCATGCGCATTTGAGACTAAATGGCCCCCAGCGTCTCCCTGCCTGCTGTTGGGGCTTACGGCCAATGGGCCTTTAAATGACTTAATTTCCTATCTGCCTCCTGGGGGAGCTTTTAGGGGAGCTAAAAGCTGGTCACAGCATGCAGAGAATGGAGTATCAGGGAAGCCTTGGGCCGGGTGGACCCTGCCTGCCTCAAAATCACTATTGCTGTAACTGCCGTGAGCGATATCCTGAGAGCAGATATGCATCATGGTGATGAGGGTGTAGAGTAGCTCGCTGGGCGGACCCTCAGTAACATATCCATAAGTGTTACTATCTGTCTTAGACTTACTCCGCGAGGGCAGCTTGACTACCACTTTTTCCCCTTCATTAACCTGCTCTGATCCAAACGTAATTTAAATGTTTTTCAAGATATTTTCCAGTATAGATTAAAAAAAAAATTGGAGGCTCTTTAGAAAATTGTCACAAAAGTCACTGGGGCATGAAAGCTCTAAATACCAGCAATGCACCTGGACAGTTATAGACCAGTACTTGAAGACATGTAGTACCAGGAAGTAACACTTCCACAGTGGACTGAATGATGGAACGGAGTAAAATAAGAGAGAAGACTACTCTAACAGACTACGTTGCCCTGCACAGTCACCGACTCTGTCACTGACTGTCGCTGTGAGTTTGAATAAGGGCAACTGGACTTATTGAATAAAGGCTTTTAGTTGAGAGGTAATACCATATTCAGGCACTAAGAAAAAGAAATCCAGTTTCCTTCTCCTTAAGCTCTTTAGCCATGACCTGAGAAAGATTATTTTCACCGGCTTATCTAATGTGTTGCTCTTGCATCAGATTTTGTCACACCGCTTCTGGTCTTTTTTACTTAGTTCCCTGTAGGTGGATGGCATTTCGCTTTCTGCCGGCTGTTTTGAAATGGCGTTATTTCACTCAGTACTTGAGTGACCTTATGCTACTGTGATGTTAATTGTGAGATTTAAGCATTAAGCTGGTTTAGATGCTTTCATCTTTATAAAACTGATCTGATATTGTACAACATTCAAATACTTTTAATTTTTAAATGAGCAAATATCCACTCATGACTGTGATGCCCATGTCCTTCTTAGCACACCTTAACACCATGTAGTGTACATATAGATGATTCAGAGCACAACACAACACCAATCAGCCGGGTTTTTTTTTAACTATCTGAGCTGCATAGCAGGTACATAGAACAGAACAAGTATCTTTGCATCCCATGTGATCCCCGTCTCTATCACAGGGTCTCTAGCCATCACATTTAGAAAGCTTAAGCGGACTTACTTTTGAAGTTCAGGTCTTCAAAGTTACTTTTGGTTCTCAGCAACCCACATTGTGATTATTAAAATCATAGAAATAGAAATGACATTTGCATGAGCCCTTGATACCTTACCTAATAGTTAGAAATAATTTGGCTTGCTTTTCATCTTATTGCCACTGATTTGTACAGTAACCATCCATTTGACTTTGATGTCAACACTTCAGTTACATACATCTTTGTTTTATGTGTTAGTTAATTGCATGAATCACTGATTTAGATTAGTTTAGACCCTGTTTTGTGTCTGATTCCTGTTCATAGTCCTTTGTGTTTGTCTTAGCTTGTGTGTGTTTCCCTGTGTTTAAATTTCAGGAGCTGTTTGTTATTCCCCCCTGAGCTGCATTTATTGATGTGATGGTGTCAAATGGCACATTGCTCTCAAGGACACATTGTCATTCAAAATGTAAAAGTCCTGAGTGACTGAAGTAGATAGGTGCAAGACAGAAAGGTATTATTGATCAGTAGAGAAAAGTGTGTGTGGGTGTGTTCGGGAAAAGAGAAGTCGGACGCCAGGATGAGTCAAAGCAGAAAGCAGATTTAGAAATAAAATGACATTGAAGTCATTAAATGAATGGGTGGTCCAGCACGGACAGAGTAATGATGGAGCGGAGTGTGCGGCTGTAACACAAACAGTTTTTCAGCATGTTCAGAGGACCGCTGCTGGGGAGATAATTGACCTGCACCTGAGGTGCAATTGACCATCTCTGACCCCACCGATTAAATGCATATAATATAAATGATTTTGTGTTTTCATTTTTAAATCTGTCGATTGGACAGAAGGGTAATTGGACCTTAGTTATTAATATTCATCTGACAAAAAAAGTAATTTATTTTAATATGAATGTAATAAAAAGTTGAAAGGTTAAGAATGAATTTATTGGAACAGGATTACCTACGTAATCTGCGTAAAAATTGATTTCATAGTTAGTGTATCCTTGTGTAGATGTGGACATGCTACAATTATCAATTTTCTGATTATCTTAAATTCTGGAATCATACTCCTCTGACTGTTTGTTTAGCCAGGCAAAACGACAGAGGCCATCACTTGTCAAGCCCAGAGTGCTTGTATTCATCAGCTCTCTTGAGACAGCAGTTAATGTACTGTAAACTGTAATAAAACTGTCATAAAATAGCCAATCACAGCTTCTCTCCTCCTTCATTTTAACTCCTGGAAAGTGTCCCCAGTTAATAGGGTTGTGTTCGTTAACAAGCCGGTGAAGTCCTCGTCAGCAGCATTATCACAACGACACACAGACACGCTCCGTTTTATCAGGCCTCTCTGTGCCACTGACAGCCGACAGCTCTGCAATTAGTGGCTCAGAGAGGGAGGCGAAGAGGTAAACAGCATTATTACACATGGCCAGCTGCGCCTCAACACAAGGAATACCAATATAGTGCTGGTTGTTGCTCAAGCGGAGGCCCATTCATTTATACAGGTTGGCTCAACAGTGCGCCCTGCCCAGGACCTTTTGCAGAGTGAAGTGTGTGCAGGGTGCTGCTCTGCCTATTATTAACAGTAGTGTTGGTTTTGGCATTCTGGGAGAGGGCAGCCTGGCTCAGCCAGCAGTCACAGCAATTTACAGGTCTGTCAGAGAGAAAGAGGTCGACCAGAGGAGAGCATTAAAAAGCATTTAGAGCTGTGAAAAGGACTGCAGACGGGAAGAATGAGCTGCCAGCTGATGTATGATGTGTTCGCGTTGACCTTACCGCAGAGGTTTTATTGTGCAGACCTAAATGTATTTCCTGTATTATGCAAGATTCATAGGTGGAAAAGTCTAATGGAATCGGTTTAAGATGATGTGAGCATTTTTGTTGAGTTAAATTGGAATTTTCAAAAAGTTCAAGGGTTTAGTGTCGTCCCTGGCAAATGGCACGAGGAGTAATTCCTGGCACCATTATTGTTGTTTTATCACAGCTCTAGCGTGAAAATAAGAGCTGTGAGCTTCACTAAAGTAGTCGGTTGTTTACATTTTATGCAAATGCATTTTATGTGGGTCCTTCCTGATGGGCGACCTTCCTTTTAAAAGCTAAATTCTTTCGTTTTGTGTTTGTGCGCCCTTCTGGTCACGCAGTGTCATTTTAACGGGGCTGTCGGCAAAGACCACTGGGAGAGAAAGTGTCAAAAGGCCAGGCGGTTGAAGCAGCCAAACAAACAGCATGATGAATAGATTGCCCGTGACAATGCTGCTTAAATCTTTGTGGTGTGTGACTGAACTGCAGGGTCACAACAGCCTCCCCTGCCCTCTTTGCTTCCATCTGACAGAAGTCAGACCCAATCAGTTAGTTGGAAGGAGATGGCTGAAGAGTGCGCTTTTACCTCAGGATCTCACCAGTGTTTGGTCCCATCCTCTGCGTGGCCTCTTATCACTCCTGGAAGGTATTAGCAGTACTTGAGTACAACCGTTCTTTTTATCATTGATGCACATAATCGAGTGTGGCTTGTGTCATAGCACCAACTTCAGTGTTTGTGGGGGATGGATGGTTTTCCTTCCATGGAGAACATTTTCTGTGTCATTTACAGTCTGGTATGGCGCTACTTGCTGCATTCATCATGTCTGACAATACACAACCTGGAGTCTGCATGGGGATTTTTTTTAAAACCTAATTGGATGCTTACTGTCATTGTTCCTGCCAGTGATAAATGAGGCACATAGTTATGAGAAGTTCACAGAAATCCCACTGACCCTTCTCATGTTTCTTTGTCTGTTTTGCTATAGAGAGCCTCTGTAACATGACGATGGACTCCAACTCAATGACAATGCCGATGTCGGACCCGAACCCCTGGGCAACAGCCATGAACAACTTGGGGATGCCTCCCATGGGAATCGGTGGACAGCCGCTCATGCCAGGTACCACTCCTCCCAAACCGCATCTACACAGTTCAGCTCCAATCAGATGTGAGCTTAATTACATTTGAAAGAACATTTTTGACGCCATTTGATCTTATTGTATTTGGGGGGGGGGAAAAAATAGAATTTATCTTTCCTTTTTTATACTTGAAGTCTATTGATATTATAATGAAAAGTTAATTCCGTGCATCAGGTATGTCTCATGTCTCATCAGGTTTTGTCGGTATGTGGCACTATCTTTGCATTGTTCACTGTGTTTTCCATTGATGTTGCCTTAAAGGATGAGTAAGTTTACGATGAGTCAGTCATGTGTGGCTTTGCTGGACATTTAAAAATATGCTGGAATAAACAGGACCAGCTGAGTCATCAACAAGGACGTGCAAGCTGGTTGTTGGTTTGATGCTGGCATACGCAGACAGGAGGTTGATGTGACTCAGCTTTCCTGGGAATGATTTTTTAGGGAAAAAAGCAAGACTTTGTTCTCAACTTGAAAACTAAGCAACTTTCACTTGAAAAAAAAAAAACTTCCGCGATACTTAAAATACAGCATGTTCTTCTGTTTGTTACAGGTGAATCATATCTCAGAAACAGTGGGCTTGAAATGATCAAATCTCATAATTAAGCTATCATTTAGTCTGGTATCTAAATGTCTTTTAAGATTTGGTGATGTTTGACAGAGGAATTACTCTTAGAATTTGTAATGGTGTTGCAAACCAATGGACCTCATGATTCTGTGGTTTTTAATAATATTGCTTTTAAAATTATGAACCCCATCATCAGCGGTAGAGCAGCAAGTAAGAAAAAAATTACTGAATATTTTTCTATCAGTTTGAGTGTGTGGCTGAGTTCTGGGCTCTCAGGCTGTATCTGCTCTCATACAATGATAATGTGCTCCAATGTTTATTAATTACCACAGATTTAAAAAAAAATGTAGATCCTGAAGAAGAAAAGGGGTCACTCCACTCCCCTAAAATAATCTTCTTCAATAGAAGAGTAAATTATTGGATTAAAAAATGGAGCGGCTGTGTTAAATGTGTGTTACTTTGGCCAAATATTGTCACAGATGTGCCATTAAGAGCTCAGAATACTCTGTCTCTTTAAATCTGTGATTTCCCCTTTCTGGTCACATTAGCAAATAGATCATTTTCAGTGTCTTTTTCTTTCTTTTTTTTAAGTCTGTGCCCTGTCAAAAGGCTGTCAGGGTAACCATACTATTTAGGGACGTACCGGTACAATATCCAGCCGTCCCCATCGCTCTAATATCTATAACGTTAGGTTCAGCTGCACCCTCTCTGAGCAGTTATACTGCCATGTCTTCTCTCTCCTCAGTAGAAGCCATTCCCTAAAGCCTTTTATAAATCACTTCCCACTCCTCAGCCGAAATGCACTCTCATATTTGAAATATGCCAGCCTCGTGTGTACGTGCGCGTGGTTGCATGTGTGTGTCAGTGCGGGCGAGGAGATGAACGGTCTTCCAAATGCACTCCTCAAGAAATATTAGGGGAAATACACAAGCACGTTTGCACACAGAGACACAAGCATGACGTATCTCTCCCACAGTAAATAACAGCCTTTCCACTCAGGAAGGACAGAAATCGCAGAGAGGACATTTAATTTAGATAGCGAGCTGGAAAATGTAATCTAATCTGAAGAAGTTTTTCTTATCTCAGCTAAATAATATGTGGTCTAAGAGTAAACTTATCTTTTAGTATCTTTTCTTATGTTCATTCCAAATGCATTCATGCATGAACATTTACCCTTTTGACGAGTCTGTGGAAAAACCAAGAAAGTAAACACTGGGAGGACATCCTAATGAAATCTAAATCTGCCCAAATATTGAGTGAGCAATGAACTTTGTCATGCAGGTCAAGCCCTGAGTCGCTGTCAAACCAGCTCTTTGGTTCCTTGATTTTTCTTAGCCACAACCAAGAATTTCAAGTAAATTCAGCTGGCTCGTGTTTGGGTTTAATCTAGTTTGAGACGGCTATAAATTTTGGCATGGCCCCCCTTCAGAAACCAGATACGATTACTATGCTCTGATCTTCCCACACAAATCACACCTTAAAAAAAGCTCAGCTCTTGAAGATGGAGGATCTAGGTGAGACGCGGACGCACCTTTTCCAGACTCTGCGTTTCCGATGAAAGGTTTAATGAGAGGGGAAGGAGGCTGATGATCTCCAACAAATATCCCGCCTTTCAACTTTATTCGCTGACCCTCTTCCAGCAACCGTTTAACTTTATAGCAGGAAAAGCGACGGCGTTGCTGAAAACCCTAATGAAGGCCAGGCCAGTGAATCAGCATGTGCCATATAAGGGCAGTCAAACCGGCACCCTGGAGATGCTGCTGTGAGGAAAGTCAATTAAACTGCTCTAACACTTAATCTTGTAGTTTTGGTTAGTTTTGTTTTGTCTTTTGCAAAAAAATATACATACAACTTTTATTTTAGCAATCCCTGCTCTTTATATCCAGCTGTATTGTGTATGGCTGTTTGATAGATGTAGGATGCTGTGTTTTTGTTTGTTTTTCAATTCTATTGGCTCCTTTCTCCCACCACATATTTGCTCGAGAACATGCTAAACCCAGATGAAGTGAGTTACCCCCACTACGTAACAGAGATTTTGGACACCGCAGTGTGAGAACAATAGAGAATGATTGTTTCACAATTTATGTTTATAGGCTTTGGCTCGCCACAAATCTTAACGGACAGCTCACCAGAGCCCAACGAAAGCACAGAGAAATGTCTACCTTGGTTGCAGTAATCTTCACTGTCACAAATGTTTGTTTTCAAACAATTCTATAAACAGACATTGGCTAAATAATCCAGTTTTCAGTTGATCAGAGAGTGTTGTCATTTATTGCCAAAGTGTGAAATATATGTTCATTTTTTAAATAAAATAAAAAAAAATCTGAGATGTTATCACAGCTTGAATGTCAACGTGGGTGCTATTCACAAGTGCAAAACTGCTAATTGGAGCACCTTCAACATGACAACCCTGTGCCATGAGGGGTTTGTTTGAGCTGTTCTAGATGTAAGTTTACCTGACCTGATGAACTAATCACAAGAAGGTAACCTGTCCTAATGGTGCAATAAACCAAAAGCAGAGTAAGAAGGATGTTTGTCAGACCCTGTTAGTTTAAGCCTGCACAGAAGAAAAAGAGCTGTGGTGTGTGAGCCTACAGCAGGTTTGTGATTTGTCAACTAGTATAACTCACCAGATGCTAGACAAACATTCAGAGAGATGATAGGTGGACAAACAAAACTAGATTTGACAGGGATTAAAGACAAGAGACTGTTTTCTTTTCTGTATTTTCTTTTATTTCTTTTCTTCCTTTGCTGTGTCCATTAGAGGCCATGCTGGTTTATCTGCTTCACACAGAGCTGAACACTTCAGTTTTTACTCATGTCTCAAACTCCTTAGTCACACCGTGGAAAGGAAGTTATAATGGTATGTATCACATCAATTTGAAGAAAGTGTTTTTCGTAAGAGTAGAAATACCACCTATGGGTTTTTTTTTCCAAAATTAAATATCCATCCATCCATTATGGTACCGCTTATTCCCTAATGGGGTCGCGGGGCAAAATGAAATAGTATTTCAAAAATAATCTTTACCCATTTATTCATCAGTCAAGTCAAAAGAGGTTTTAGTTGTGAGTCAGAAGATCAATGCATTTGTGTAATAAGATCCACTTTAGCACGATGTGGTAATTTGGCTCGTCTGTGCTGTTTACAGCAAAGTGTGAGGACACAACAGCTACGGGCGGGCCTCTACACTCATTTTCTTCATCTGTGAAGTTGGTCTTCATATACCGTTGAGCTCCACAATAAAACACGCCAACGCCATTTCTCTGTTTTTGCCGTTTTTTTGTGGTTTCTGTCGTCAGCCCAGTTTCATTATGAGCTCATCTGTGAAGTCTGGCTACAAAGCTCCTGGCACACACACAGACACACACAGTCAAGTGTCACAAAGTCTTATGGTAGCCTGTCAGGCAGCGTTTGTTCCCAGGGCACCGGTGGCTTTGAAGTAATCCAGGTGGATTAGTTATTGATTCTCCATCATGACAGTACATCATCTTTTTCTTTTTAGTTTCACCTCCAAACATCAGAGAGGGATTTGCTGTCACAATCTTTGTCTTTGCCCCTTTGATTTTCGTCCCACCCTTGTGCATGTGCACGCTGAGTCATGTCTTTTCTGCGTGAACATTTATGTAGAGAGAGTTAAAGTCAGTTTTAGGCTCGTTCATTAAAAGATAGGCCTGTTGTCCCGCTACTTTCATTGCCCATTAAAGTTTTTATTTGTTTCATCCCCCGTAAGCCTGGGTTGTGTTTTTCTTCCTCACTAAAGTCTCCTCCTGTCCCCAGCCAGGTGTATTTATCCAGACAGACGGCTGGATAAATGGACCTCAGTGGGCAGAACCCTCTGCACTGCAGACTCGTAGAAACTGGCGCACATCTACAATGATGACAGGTTTATTTCTATAGAAGGACAGCGCGTGACTGTGTAGATTATAAAATATTTTCTATATGTTTGTGTTAAAGGAGTATAGGAAGAGACGAGACCAGAGTTTTTCACACTGTGTGAGGTGACAACAGAGTGTGTACAATGCACAAAGGGTTTTTGAGGTGTGAGCTTAATGAGGGCATGTTGGAACCTAAGGGTTTGTATTTCACTGTGAGTCAGTGTCTACATTGGGATTTCTCAGAAATTATTTTGCATACACAACTTGAACATCATGTTCCTCCGCTCTGCAAATTGAATTCTAACACGGTAAGGTTGAGTGGGTACAAGTTTCTGCATGTTTCAAAGCCTTTTGAGGCAAACTAAAGTAAAATTCCAAGACCAATGCTAATGTAGAAGGTCTGGAAAATAGGTAGTAAACTACATAATCCATTCATTTGATAAAAAATAATCAGATAACAGAGCCTAATGATCTGAGCCTGATGTTACCATAGAGGAGGGACAACGCCAAGCTTCTGGGAGCAATAGGGTTCTGATCATC